CGCTCTGTCCCCCAGGCTGGAGTACAGTGGCAAGATCTTGGCTCACGGCAACCTCCGACTCCCGGGTTCAAGTGATTCTCCTGCCTCAGCCTCCCAAGTAGCTGGGATTACAGGTGCGTGCCACCACACCCAGCTAATTTTTTGTAATTTTAGTAGACAGGGTTTCACTGTGTTAGCCAGAGTGGTCTCAATCTCCTGACCTCATAATCCACCCACCTTGACTTCCCAAAGTGCTGGGATTACAGGCATGAACCACCGCACTCAGCCTATTTTTTTTCCTTTTTTGTAGGCTGGGTCTCACTATGTTGCCCAAGCTGGCCTTGAACTCCTAGCCTCAAATGATCCTGCTCCTAGCCTCCCATAGTGCTGGAATTACAGTGGAGAGCCACCGCGCCCAGCTCACTTGTGGGTTCTTAAGCACTAAATGCTGTTAGAAGAGGATTCTTCAGCAGATCAACTAGTGGAAGAGGCATGAAGTAATAAAATTTGATTTTGGATGATTACTGAGAAAATAACCTCAATCAGCTAAAGAATCTATAAGATTTGAAGGCCTTAATTTAAAAGACAAAGAATTGATAAAGGTTTTTTGTTGTTTTGTTGTCGTTGTTTGAGACAGTTTCGCTCTTGTAGAGCCAGCTGGAGTGCAGTCACGTGATCTCAGCTCACCTCCGCCTGTTGGGTTCGATTCTTCTGCCTCAACCTCCCGAGTAGGTGGGATTACAGGAGTGCGCCACCACTCCCGGCTAATTTTTTTTTTTTTTTAAGTAGAGACGGGGTTTCACCGTATTGGCCAGGCTGGTCTGGTCTCGAACCCCTGACCTCAGGGGATTCACCTGCCTCAGCCTCCCAAAATGCTGGGATGACAGGCGTGAGAGTCACCACGCCTGGCCAATTTTTTTAAAGATGATTCCGTCACATTCTGACAGAATGGAGGTGAAATCAATAAATAAATAAAGATTCCGATTTTCCAGGCTGGGTAACCCAGAAACCACGGTATCCTAAAGTCTCAATAAACCTTAAAGCACAGAAAGTAAGTAATCTGGCAATACGTGATGCGCGCCCAGCAGCCCGCCTACATAATCAGAGGAGACAAGCGCAAGATGAAAATGCCCGGCACTTGCTTTAAAATTATTAATTTCAAGACCGTTAACAGTAGAACGTTAAACAAAGCATTATGGATGTAGAGTCCATCAAAGCTAGTCCTGGTGACAGGCTCAGGTCTCGGGGTCTGGAGACCAGGAGACGTCGCTCGAAAGCTGGCCAAACCCTCGCCCTCACTGAGAGAGGCCCCAGAAGGGCCCAAGAAGGCAGAGCCCATCGACGCCCTCAGGAGCGGGCGGAGGGAAGCTCGCAGCTTTCCCAAGGGAGTGCAGGCTGCGGGGACTGAAGTTCAGCTCGGACCCTGAGCCTCTAAGCCCGGGACATCAAGGTCCTTCAACCCACACGCCTCCTCACCCAACCTGGTCGAGGATCAGAGACGTGGCAAGCCCCGGCCTTGGACTCAGGCTTATTACTCAACAACGGGCTGGCGGGGGCAGGAGGCGGCGCGCGCACCCTGGACCCGCCGCCGGGGGCAAAGAGGCACAGCAAGGACAGAGAGACTAGGGAAGGTCTGCAAATCGCGGAGGGCCAAGGAAGCTTCTAAGGGGAACTGCCGGAACCGGAAAAGCTCTGAGAACAACGCGTAAATTAGGGAGCGTCTGCAAAGACCGCAGCGGAAAGCCAGGGATTGTCTAAAAAGTTGCAAGAGCGGTTTAAGGGAGGTCTAAAAGGGGGCAGTCCCAAGAAAAAGGCTTCCAAAAGCTAAGCCCGGAAGGAAGGTGTGGAAGCCTACTGGGACGCCGGGCACCCCTGAGGACAGGACCGACTGGAGCTGCAGCCGACGACAGGAGAACGGCTCCAGCTGGACGGAGGAAACAGTGGGGAGAAAATGCGGGGGGGAGGCCTTGGGCACTGTCTGAAAAATGCGATGCCAAATGATCTTTAGGGACAGACAGTAAATTGTATCCCTTGCTAAAATACCTCTCGGTAGTGAACCACCAATTATTTTTTTTTAAGCCCTGCTTTTCAGCCATTACGTCTAGTTTGGCTGTCTCTGATCCAAGAAGCTGCCAGTTCCCACTTACTCCTCCCCAACAAGGGCGAAAGGCCCGCCTCCGGTGCGCACTTTCTCCTCCCCTCAGGCCCCTGGCGCATTCTCCCGCCTATCTATCAATCACCGTGCTCCGCTGTTCAGTTGGCTGGCCAAGGGGGCGGGACCGTCGTGTGACGTTTGCAGCCCGCCGGCCAGGAAGCCGCGAGATGTGTGACGAGGTAGGCGCATGACGGAAGAGCGGTTGGCCAACGCAGCGGCAGCAGTCGGTGTAAACAAGGCCTCTCGCCGTTGCCGGTCCTGCGACCGCTCCGGGCTGGTGGGTGGTCTCCCGGGGGGCGGTAACTGCCGGCTTCAGTGGGAGGTGCTTCTCGGCTTCCTCCCCTTCTTGGCGTACACACCCCCGGCGCACCACGTGGGCGTGAGGCAAGGAAGAGGTGGGGGTAGGCCAAATTTTATTTTCATTGGCTGTCACTGCTGCCGGCTTTCGTAAGGAAGCGCTCTGATTGGTCGGTAAGAGGGGGCGTCGAGGGTCTTTGAGTCTTAAGGCTTCTAATTGGTTAGATGAGATGAGATTAGTGACGCTCTTTCTTCCTCGAGGGGCTTCGATTGGTCTGTCAGAGAGGTTACCTGGGAATCCAACACCGCCCAACAACCCTCCCGCTCCCCAGTCCTGGGACTTTAATAGGTGAGTTTGGTGTAGAAAACTGAGAAATCTTTCTAAAATTGGTGAGGTAGGGTAGCGCCCTACGCTTCACTCTCGCTTTCTTTGCTTCACAGGATTGGGGAAGGTTTGTGTTTCCGACGCCTTGGTAGTTGGCATAGGCTAAAGGAAAGGGATCTCAGCCCCGAGGAAGGGTCACCCTCCTAGAGATAGCTACCCCATCTCAGGAGACCCTGGTATTTCTAGAGCACGCTTTGCTTTCACCAAACCCAAGGAGGTGACAGGTGGAGCCCCCGCACAGGACCTAAGAATGCTGTGACCAGAAGATGGGATCACGGAACAGCAGCAGTGCGGGATCCGGGTCCGGAGACCCCTCCGAGGGTTTGTCCCGAAGAGGGACTGGCCTGCGTCGGAGTGAGGAAGAGGAAGAAGAGGATGAAGATGTGGATCTGGCCCAGGTACTGGCCTATCTCCTCCGCAGGTAACTTACCCTCTGGTGTGACCCCACCAGGTGCTACCACGGTCCCTTGATCCCAACTCCAGGCAGGAAAATTACAGAGGTTAGGAAATGGGATTTGCCCAGAACAGCCGTTCTGTTTGTGCGGAACAGCCTTTCCCTGTTGGGCACCCATGGCACGCAGCTCCATACCCAGTAAGAGTGGTTCTTAGCTAGGGAGGGTCACCAAGAGGACCTGCTCATGTGTTTGAGGGACTATTCAAGGGAGCCTCTCTCGCTGTGACTAAACAAATATAATCTGTTTTCCAAGTAAGTTTAAAACAAAATGGGGCCTGGTGGGAAAGGAGTGATGTAAGGGGTGAAGAGATGGGAAGGGAGTGTTGAACTTTTTAGTAAGGCATTGACACGTGATATGAGGCCACTCTGATTACTTGAAAAACAAGTTTAAATTGCCCTGACCTGTTCTTGAGGAAAGAGTACCTTGAAGGAAGAGACCACCTAGAATTGACTGGAAGAGTGCAGCTGGCTTTCTTTCTTTCCTTATGGCTATTTGGGGAAAAGATGAGCATGGGGGTCCCTTCTGAATATTGTAGTCTTTTTTGTTTGTTTGTGTTTTGTTTTGTTTTTGGTAGACATAGACAGGATCTCACTGTGTTCCCCAGTCTGGAGAGCAGGCTATTCACAGGTGTGATCACAGTGCACACCACATCCTGGGCTCAAGCATTCCTTGCCTCCCAGGTAGCTAAGACTACAGTTGCACACACCACTGCATCCAGCTTAGAATATTGTGTTCTGTGGTGGACTTCTCAGGCAGAGGCTCAGAAGGAAACACTGTGAGAATGTTTAGCTCATTGGGAGGTCAACTTAGTAGGTCATGTCTGCAGCATATTGGTTGTGCCCTTGCTCTAATGAAATGCTGTTAGAATGTTTAACTCGCTGGGAGGTCAACTTAGTAGGTCATGTCCACAGCGTGTTGGTCTCGCTCTTGCTCTAAGAGTAAGACTCACTTTCCTACTGTGTTTTATAGGAAACTGAAAATAACAGCCAAGATCTAGTCAGCCTGAAACCTCAAAATGAATACCAAGTGGTCTAAGAGCTAGATAGCCATTGACTCTGAATTTGTTGGTTTGGGGGAAGAAGTCCCCTCCATTATACTGGGGGTCTCTCCACAGAGGCCAAGTGAGGTTGGTGCAGGGAGGAGGTGCAGCAAATTTGCAATTCATTCAGGCCCTCTTGGACTCAGAGGAAGAGAATGACAGAGCTTGGGATGGTCGTCTTGGGGACCGATACAACCCTCCTGGTAAGAGGAAAAGGCCCTAATGTTGGAAGACTTTTACTAGAAAACCTTTTAGTGATATTTTGAGTAATACAATACATTAAAAGAAGGTGCAATAATTTAGGGAATAAGGGAGTCCTTATAACCCCAGTATATTCAGCCATAGGGGTGGGCTTGGGTATGGTTCTGCTAACTGTCCCCTGAGGCTGAAAGACCTAGGATGAAACTTCTTGGTACTCACAGTGGATGCCACCCCTGACACCCGGGAGCTGGAATGCAATGAGATCAAGACACAAGTGGAATTGGCCACAGGGCAGCTGGGGCTTAGGCGGGCAGCCCAGGAACACAGCTTCCCTCGAATGTTGCACCAGGTAGGCCTCTCCACCTCCCAGCCTGGCAGCAGGACTGCCAAAGCAGCCAGAAGCTCTGCCAGCCCCAGAGAAAAAGAAAGTAAACTTTTCAAGGAAGTCTCAAGGGCTAGTGCTGGAGAGTTAACCAGCCTCCATCAGAGTTCTGTGGGACAGACTATGGTGTGTTGTGTCTATTTCTATAACAAGAGCAATATCTTTGGAGGAGGGGGCTTGATATGGCTGAAGTGGCCCTCTGTTTCTGCTAGCAATATTCCCCAATCCCTTCCATTTAGAGAGAACGGGGCCTCTGCCACCGGGGAAGCTTCTCCCTTGGAGAACAGTCTCGAGTGATATCTCAGTGAGTATGGGGCTTGGTGAAGAGACTCTAAGGGCCAGATAAGTCTTATCGCCTAAAGTTTGAACGAGTTGGTGTTAAAGGAGCCTTGGAGATATTAAAGGTTAGGTTAAATGGGGTTGAAACTTTGAGAGTAAACAAACTGGAAAAGTATAGAAATTTAAAGGATAGTGGAATGGTTGAAAGACAGGGGATTGCACTCGCAACCAAAAGAGAATGACTTTGTACTGATATTCTAGCTCTGTAAGGATTCTGCTAATTGGGATACTCCTTATCCTGAGTACCCCTTATCCTCACTTTCTCTCTCCTTCCCTAGCTTCTTGCCCAATGATCTGGGCTTCACTGATAGCTACTCTCAGAAGGCTTTCTGTGGCATCTACAGCAAAGATGGTCAAATATTCATGTCTGCTTGCCAAGGTACCAGACCCTGGTCCTGTCAACTGTCTTTTCCTGGAACATGGAACGTTCCCTCTGACTGAGGCTAGAAAGCCACAGACAGGGAGCTCAGACCTGGCTTAGGGATGCTTACCCAGAGCATGTTTCCCATGATAAAGCGAAGATTCCACAGGTACACTGAGTGGCAGACCTCTAATCTAGGAAAGTTACAAGGAAAGTGTTCCATAATTCTGCCTGATTTCTACTTATACAGACCAGACAATCCGACTATATGACTGCCGGTATGGTCGTTTCCATAAATTCAAGAGCATCAAGGCCCGCGATGTAGGCTGGAGCATCTTGGATGTGGCCTTTACCCCTGATGGGAACCACTTCCTCTACTCCAGCTGGTCTGATTACAGTGAGTATGCACCAGGCCTCCACTGTCTCTCTACCCTGGGACCTGAGGTTTCCATGTGCTCATCCCCTCTGAGCCAGGATTCCTCACTTTGTCCAGGGAAGATCACTCCCAAAGTGCTCCAACATCCTTGTCCTTTGTTTGATCTCTTCCCTAGCTTCATGTCCACTCTCCTTCCCCCATGCCTGAAAGATTCTTGTTTTTCTTGCTGTCTTAGTTCATATCTGCAATATCTATGGTGAGGGAGACACACACACTGCGCTGGATCTCAGGTACTGGCTTCCCTTTCTGGTCAGACTCATCAGAAACTTCTCAAGGGAAGCTCTTCAGGAGCAAACCTCTGAGTTGGAAGTTCTGCTTAGGGGGAAGTGTATGCTGGTGGATCTGTGTGGATTCCTGGGAGGGAAGCAGCATCCTGTCAGCCAGAGGATTGGGTAAATGGATGGCTGCAGGATTATTTCTGGGTTCTCACTGAGGATCTGCATTGTGGTGCATGTTAAGCGGACTTCTTTTTTCCCCTGGGGATATGCCTTACAACCATTGTCAGATTCTATGTAGATTAGCAAAAGCTGAAGGGAAGTCCACTTAACCCAGTTCCTTCTTGCTTTCAGGCCAGATGAGCGTCGCTTTGCTGTCTTCTCCATTGCTGTCTCCTCAGATGGACGAGAAGTACTAGGAGGGTGAGTGCTTGTGGGATATGTTTCCCTCAATTAACAAGATGGGGGTTCCCCCAGAGATGAGCTCTGCTGTACACAGATGGCACTGGCAGCTGCAGAGAAGAAGCAGATCTTCTTCAAGGTCAGGATTTACAAGTTGGTTCACCTCTTGCTCTCCATTTCCCCCGCACGAGAGCCTCCTTGAAAACACAGCTAACTCTTCCCCCATGACCCAGAGCAGGATTTCTCAGTGGGACTCTCTAGAGCACATACCACATTGATCCTCACAATCATGGCTCCAGGACCATCCTTTATTGCTTCCCTTTCAGGGCCAATGATGGCTGCCTGTATGTCTTTGACCGAGAGCAGAACCGGCGCACCCTTCAGGTATGGCTCCTGAGACAGAGCCTCTGCCTCCTGGTCTTTGGCTTATTATAAGACCTAGAAAGAGATCTTATATTCTGGCCTCCTCTTCACCTAGATTGAGTCCCATGAGGATGATGTGAATGCAGTGGCCTTTGCTGATATAAGCTCACAAATCCTGTTCTCTGGGGGTGATGATGCCATCTGCAAAGTGTGGGATCGACGCACCATGCGAGAGGATGACCCCAAGCCTGTGGGTGCACTCGCTGGACACCAGGATGGCATCACCTTCATTGACAGCAAGGTGGGCCAGGAAACAGGACTGCACAGCCAGGCTACTAAGGTTCTGGTTGCTCAGGAGGGCATGAAAATGGACTGGTGTGGGAATTTGACAGTTCCTTATTAGCCAAGGTTTATAAGGGTTGGAGTTTAGGGTAGGGGCTCAATCTAGGGAACATGAATTCCATCTGTACTTACCAGTCCTCACGGAGTAGGGCAGGGCTTTCTGTACAAAAAAAATGGAAGACCAGCCAGGTAGGTGGCTCACACCAGTAATCCTATCACTTTGGGAGGCTGAGGTGGGAAGATCGCTTGAGCTCAAGAGTTTGAGAACAGCCTGGGAAACCTAGTGAGCCTTTGTCTCTATTTTTTTTTTTTAATTAAACATTTTTTAAAAAGGAAAATGGAAGACAGTCTGATCCAGGATAGAATAAGAAAGCCAGCCAGTAACCTGGGCACAGAAAGGAAAACCCAGCCAGGTGGTAGAATCTGAGGCAGAACAATGAAAATGAGTTCACCTGGATAAAGAAAGAGGCAAGCAAAGCGAGAGGCTGGAGTTCTGCTCAACTAGAGAATGGGCACTAGACTGACAGGCGCTGACATTTGTAAGCTCTGATGCTTCACTATCCACATTTGGATTCATAGGGTGATGCCCGGTATCTCATCTCCAACTCCAAAGACCAGACCATCAAGCTCTGGGATATCCGACGCTTTTCCACGCGGGAAGGCATGGAAGCCTCACGCCAGGCTGCCACACAGCAAAACTGGGACTATCGCTGGCAGCAAGTGCCCAAAAAAGGTGAGACTGGAAGTACAGGCACAGTGGATTTGTCTGTAGCCTGGGAACCCTGGAGCCCTCCCCCTCAGCCCTCTTTGCCAGGCATTAACACTTTATTTGCTAAATCATGGATGGGATGGCCAGAGGTTCCTAGGATTGGAGCCTGGGTAGGGGTCACTCAGAATCAACTAATACAAAAGTATTTGAGTATGATTAGCGAGCAGGGCCATATTGGAGACTCCACTGACGATTAGGTGGAGAAAGAGCCACCACTTGGGCTGGGCGTGGTGGCTCACGCCTGTAATCCAAGCACTTTGGAGGCCAAGGCAGGCGGATCGCCTGAGGTCAGGAGTTCAAGACCAGCCTGACCAACATGGTGAAACCCTGTCTTTAAAAAAAAAATAAAGAGCCACCACTTGAAGGTTAGAAAGACAGTTGTCTCTGGGCATACACACTTGCTCAGGACTGGTGGTACAAAACAATCCCAAAGCAGATTCCCTAACCTAGGGCTTACCCTGCATCCCTACCCAGCCTGGCGGAAGCTGAAGCTCCCCGGAGACAGCTCCTTGATGACCTACCGGGGCCATGGAGTGCTGCACACCCTCATCCGCTGCCGGTTCTCCCCCACTCATAGCACCGGCCAGCAGTTCATCTACAGTGGCTGCTCCACCGGCAAAGTGGTTGGTAAGGATTGTGTCAGAACAGGGGGCGTCAGGAAGGGCAGGAATGACTCTTTCCCATTCTACCTATAACCACCACTGACCACCTTAAAAAGCCCACTGACAGCTACAGGTAAAATCTAATTTAGCTTAGAGGCTTAAACAGAGAAATAGAAAACATTCTATTCTTCAGCATTTTAAATTAAGAAAAGGAACATAGAATTCTAGTCAGTAAATATAATAGACTGCCAAAAATGTAGTTGGTTCTCTTTTTCAGCCAGTCAAGGAAAGAGGTTGCAGATGAAAGGTAGGAGGGAACAGAGATAAAATGATACAGGAAGATGGTAGCAAGTAGTAAAGGACATGCAGTCCCTGAAGCAGAAAGAAGAACCTGGGCACGGTGGCTCACGCCTGTAATCCCAGCACTTCAGGATGCTGATATGGGCAGGTTGCTTGAGCCCAGGAGTTTTAGAACAGCCAGGGCAACGTGGAAAAAACTCGTCTCTGCAAAAAATGGCTGGATGTGGTGGCACAGGCCTGTAGTCCCAGCTATTTGGGAGGCTAGGGTGGGAGAATCACCTGAGCCCGGGAAATCGAGACTGCAGTGAGCCATGATTGTGCCACCGCACTTCAACCTGGGTGACAGAGTGAGAAACTGTCTCAAAAAAAAAAAGGAGGGCTGGTGCAGTGGCTCACACCTGTAATCCCAGCACTTCGGGAGGCCAAGGCAGCAGACCACCTAATGTTAGGGGTTTGAGACCAGCCTGGCCAACGTGGTGAAATCCGGTCTCTACTAAAAATACAAAAATTAGCCAGGCATGGTGGCAGGCACCTGTAATCCCAGCTACTTGGAAGACTGAGGCAGGAGAATCACTTGAACCTGGGGGGCAGAGGTTGCAGTGAGCCAAGATCGTGCCACTGCACTCCAGCCTGGCAACAAGAGTGAGACTTCGTCTCAAAAAAAAAAAGAAAAGAAGCACAAGCACAGCTACAGATATAAGGAGCCTGAGGCAGGGCAGTGTTGTCCCTAGGGAGACACTCACAGACCCATGACAAAAAAAAGATGTACTCTGTCTAGACAAGTACACGCCTCAGACAGCTCAGTTTTCACTTTTGTGGTGACTTCCATATTTTACTAAAAGCTTTAAAGCCACTGCATTTTCTTAACTGTAGCCCCTATAAAATTTAGCTAAGGATGAGAAATACCCACACCACTAAACCATACCCTCAACCCAAGGTAGGGAAAGGAACAGGGATAGAAGCAGAAATAACACAGCCTTCTGGTGTGGGCTCTGCCCCCATGTGAACAGGGGAAGTTGCCTGAGAGGCAGGTCAGTGGTGCTACTCACAGGGAGGTGAGGGATAGTTTAGAGTCTTATGGTGGTCCCTCTCCACTCTTGCCTGTCCTGGACAGTGTACAACCTTCTCAGTGGCCACATTGTAAAGAAGCTGACCAACCACAAGGCCTGTGTGCGTGACGTCAGTTGGCACCCCTTTGAAGAGAAGATTGTCAGCAGTTCGGTGAGGTTACAAGGGTTGAGGGGGCTGGCACATGTCTGGGGCTTGGACTTCGGGGGCAGCACGTCCTGACTACTTGCCACCCTCTGCCCTGCAGTGGGACGGGAACCTGCGTCTGTGGCAGTACCGCCAGGCTGAGTACTTCCGCGATGACATGCCAGAGTCCGAGGAATGTGCCAGCGTCCCTGCCCCAGTGCCCCACTCCTCTACAGCCTTTTCCTCACCCCAGTAGATCCGACCTCCAGCCCCATGTAGGATGAACCTCTTGATAAGCTCTCTGCCTCTTCCTCCCTTTCTCCCTTGTGGGGAATGTTTGGAGGAATCACTGGCATTGGATGGGGAGAAACAGAAGCCCAGGCTCTGAGCTTCAGCTGAGCCCTGGAAGATCCTCCCCACGGGCAGAGTGGTCTCCTCACATGCTCACACCCAGTCAGATTGAGTCCCTATCTCTGGCCAGAGTTTGGCAGGAGTGCCATTATCTGGGGTGTGGTCTCTGCTAGCAAGATAAGTGTCCTGGGTGTTTTTTATCATGTTTAAATGTTAGGGGTTGGCTCCTAGAGTAGACGCCTGAGGCCACATCTGAACAGACCTGTCAGCCAGGCCTGTTGCCTGAATCATGTTGAGGATTCAACTGGCCAATCACAGGGCAGGTGTCCTGGCCTTTCTTCCTGAGGTCTCTAGGGGAGGGGCATGGGTAAGGGTGTTTCCTCCGTACCTTCCTGGGGTGGGGATTCTGACTGCTTTCCTGTCAGGGTCTTTGGGGTAGGACAGGCTGTGGTATGAGAGGTGGGAGTCTCCAAAAGGCTCCTTGTGGCCCCTCATAGGGCAGGCCCTGCCCTCTGAGAAGTTCCCATCATGCCGGAGGCATGCAGCTTTAAGGAAGTAGGTTGAAGTAGGACTCCTTCGTCCTCTCACCGGCTTTGGCTCCCTCAATAAACTCTGTGTGGGAACCTGGCTCAGTGTCTGTCTCTTTCTCACACTCTCTCCTTTTCCTATTTGAGGTCTTTCATCCTCTCTCTTCAGGAAAACAGTTTCAACAGAGCCTTTTTCTTTTTTTTTTTTTTTTTGTGGAGGGGGAACGGAGTCTTGCTTTGTTGCCAGGCTGCAGTACAGTGGCGTGATCTCAGCTCACTGCAACCTCCATCTCCCAGGTTCATGCAATCCCCCTGCCTCAGCCTCCTGGGTAACTGGGACTACAGGCCTGAGCCACCCCACCTGGCCAATTTTTTTTTTGTATCAAGAGATAGGGTTTCACCATGGCCAGGATGGTCTCTATCTCCTGACCTCGTGATCCCCCCGCCTCGGCCTCCCAAAGTGCGGGGATTACGGGCGTGAGCCACCGCGCCCAGCCTCAACAGAGTCTTTAGCTGCAATCCTGTGTTGGAGAAAATACCCTTCTGATGCCCCATGATAAAGGGAAATACCAAAACCATTTGTTCACTGAGCCTTGCAGCAGGTGCTGCCTCACCAACTTCAGAAGCTTCCCTGCAAGTAGATAGCAAGAGAGCACACTCTCTGTTACAGCCTGGTAATACCCAGGAGGCAGAGGTTGTGGTGAGCTGAGATTGCGCCACTGCACTCCAGCCTGGGTGACAGAGTGAGACTCCCTCTCAAAAAAAGAAAAAAAATGTTGCTCTCAGACTCCTGGGCTCAAGTGATCCTCCACTTCAGCCTCCCAAATGCTTGGAGTATAGGCATGAGCCACTGTGCCTGGACATGAATGGTTTTTTTTATTTTTTTGAGACGGAGTCTTGCTCTGTCACCAGGCTGGAGTGCAGTGGTGCAATCTCGGCTCATTGCAACCTCCACCTCCTGGGTTCAAGCGGTTCTTCCACCCCAGCCTCCCTAGTAGCTGGGACCACAAGTACATGCCACCATGCCTGGCTCGCCATGAATGTTCTTAATGGCATCTAGAATGGTGAATCCTTTCCAGAAGGTTTTCAATTGACTTCGTCTATAGCTATCAGAGGAATCAGTGTGGTAGCTGCAGTCTTACGAAATGGATTTTTTTTTGTCTTTTTTTTTTTTTTTTGAGACAGGGTCTTGCCCTGTCACTCAGGCTGGAGTGCAGTGATGCAATCTTGGCTCACTGCAACCTCTGCCTCGCCCTGGACTCAAGCAATCCTCCCGCCTCAGCCTCCCAAGTAGCTGGGACTACCAGCACACACCAGCACACTTGGCTTGTTTTTGTTAATTTTTTGTAGAGATGGGGTTCAAAATGTATTTTTTAGACAATAAGACTTGCAAGTCACAATTATTCCTTGATCCATGAGCTGCAGAATGGATGTTGTGTTAGCAGGCATGAAACCATTAATCTCCCTTTATATCTCCAGAGTTTGTAGGTGACCAGATGCATTGTCAATGAGCAGTAATACTTTGAAAGGAAACTTTATTTCTGAGGAGTGGATCTTAACAGCGAGCTTAAAATATTTTGTAACCCATGCTGCAAACATATGTGCTATCATGTAGGTTTTGTTGTTTTATTTATAGAGCACAGCAGAATACATTTAGCATAATTCCTAAGGCCCTAGGATTTTCAGAATGGTAAACGAGCATTGGTTTCAACTTAAAATCACCAGGTGCATTATCTCCTAACAACAGTTAGTCTGTCCTTTGAAGGTCTGTAGCCCAGCCTTGACTTCTGTCTAGCTGTGAAACTCCTGTATGGCATCTTCCAATAGAAAGCTGTTTTGTTTGCTTTGAAAATCTGTTATTTAGTGTAACCACTTTTATTGGTGATCTTAGCAAGATCCTGTGGATAACTTGCCGCAGCTTCTACATCAGCACTTGCTGCTTCACCTTGCATTTTTATGTTATAGAGATGGTTTCTTTCTTTGAGCATTATGAACCAACCTCTGCTAGCTTCCTCACCACTCTCAGTCTTTACAGAATTGAAGAGAATAGGCTAGGCTCAGTAGCTCACACCTGTGATCCCAGCACTTGGGGAGGCCAAGATGGAAGGATCACTTGAGGCCAAGAATTGGAGACCAGTTTGGGCAACATGGTGAGTGGAGGCATGCACATGTAGTCCCAGCTACTTAGGAGGCAGAGCAGGAGGATTGCTTGAGTTCAGGAGTTGGAGGCTGCAATAAGACATGATCATGCTGCCGCACTCCAGGCTGGGCAACCAAGCAAGACCCTGTCTCTTTTCTTGTTGTTGTTAAGAGATGGGGTTTCACCATGTTGGCCAGACCAGTCTCGAACTCCTGACCTCAGGTGATCCGCCCATCTCAGCCTCCCAAAGTGCTGGGATTACAGGCATGAGCCACCGCACCCAGCCCAACCCTGTCTCTTTAAAAAAAAAAAAAAAGAAGAAGAAGAGAGGGCCTGGTTCTGGATTAGACTTTGGTTTAAGGGAATGTTGTGTGGCTGCTTTAATCTTCTATCCAGACCACTGAAACTTTCTCCTTATCAACAATAAAGCTGTTTCACTTTTGTGTCATTAATGTGAAGTAGTAACTTAATTTCCTTCCAGAACTTTTCCTGGACAGGTGCAGCGGCTCACTTCTGTAATCCCAGCACTTTAGGCAAAGGCAGGAGGATCACTTGAGCCCAGGAGTTTAAGACCAGCCTGGGCAACATAGTGAGACACCTGTCTCTACAAAAAATTTAAAAATTAACTTAATAGCATGTACCTATGGTCCGAGCTCCATGAGAGGAGGATCGCTTGAAACGACTGGGGAGGTCAAGGCTGCAGTGAGCTGTGATCAAGCCACTAGATTAGGCTTTGGTTTAAGGGAATGTTGTGGCTGCTTTAATCTTCTACCCAGACCACTAAATTTTCTCATGTCAGTAATGAGACTGTTTCACTTTTGTGACAGAAAGTGACCCTGTTTCAAAAAACCCCCAAAAACCAAGGTATTCATGTACTAATAATACATTTTAGACTACTAACAGTGATAATGAAAATAGAATCCATAGGGGAAAAAATAACTCTTGGGCTTTATGGTCACAGGAAAATTTTATTTTTATGTTGTTATTTTTATTTTTTGATATAGTCTTGCTCTGCCGCCCAGGCTGGAGTGCAGTGGTGCGATCACTGCTCACAGCAACCTGAAATTCCTAGCTTCAGGTGATCTCCCCATCTCAGCCTCCTGAGTAGCTGGGTGGGCACCCCTATGCTTAATTAATTTGTGTTTGTTTTTGTATGGACAGGGTTTCACCATGTTGCTCAGGCTGGTTTCAAACTCCTGGGCTCAAGTGATCCTCCTGCCACAGTCTACCAAAGGACCAGAATTGCAGGTGTGATCCACCACACCCAGCCCAGAAATTTTAAAAAGTTAAATTTTTTAAGTTATATACTTTTTTTTTTTTTTTTTTGGCAGAGAACTGTGATAAATGCTCAATAAAAGACTTTCAGGCATAAAAACATATTAGAATAAATTTTATGAGGGAGTTGAATGGAAATATAATTTCTGTTTTTGTTTTTGTTTTTGTTTTTTGAGACGGAGTTTCACTCGTTACCCAGGCTGGAGTGCAATGGCGCGATCTTGGCTCACCGCAACCTCCGCCTCCTGGGTTCAGGCAATTCTCCTGCCTCAGCCTCCTGAGTAGCTGGGATTACAGGCACACGCCACCATGCTCAGCTGAATTTTTGTATTTGTAGTAGAGACGGGGTTTCACCATGTTGACCAGGATGGTCTCGATCTCTTGACCTCGTGATCCACCCGCCTCGGCCTCCCAAAGTGCTGGGATTACAGGCTTGAGCCACCGCGCCCGGCAATTTCTGTTTTTTTTGAGACAGAGTTTCACTCTTGTTGCTCAGGCTGGAGTGCAATGGCATGATCTTGGCTCTCCATAACCTCTGCCTCCTGGGTTCAAGCAATTCTCCTGCCTCAGCCTCCCGAGTAGCTGGGATTATAGGCATGTGCCACCACGCCCAGCTGGTTTTGTATTTTTAGTAGAGACAGGGTTTCTCCATGTTGATCAGGTTGGTCTCGAACTCCTGACCTTAGGTGATCTGCCTGCCTAGGCCTCCCAAAGTGCTGGGATTACAGTTGTGAGCCACCTCATCTGGCTGAAATATAATTTTTCATGTAAAATCTTGTCACATGTGTTTTAGTGGATAATGGTGAAGTATCTTAAGCACTGTAGTATTTAAATTTCATTGGATACATTTGAAAGAGTGATTTAATGGTTTTACTTTGAAATGTCAGTATATAATACACTAGAACTACTTAAAACCACTGTGAGACCAGGCATGGTGACTCATGCCTATAATCCCACCAGTTTGATAGGCCAAGGCAGGAAGATCACCTGAGGCCAGGAGTTCAAGACCACCCTGGTCAACTTAGTGAGACTTTGTCTCTACAAACAAACCAAAAAAAGATTATTTATTTTAAAACAAGGTCTCCCTCTGTTGCTTCGGCTTGGAGCACAGTGGTGCAATCACGGCTCACTGCGGTGTCAACCTCCTGCGCCCAAGTAATCCTCCCATTTCAGCCTCCCAAGTAGCTGGGATCACAGGCATATGCCACTATGCCTAGCTAATTTTTTTTATTTTTGTAGGAACGAGGTCTCACTATGTGAGACCAGCTCAGGCTGGTCCCCAACTCCTGTGGCTCCTCAGGCTGGTCCCAAAGTGCTGGGATTACAGGCATGAGCTACCGTACCTGGCCAGAAAATTAAAAATAAACTAGGCATGCTGGTGCATTTCTGTAGTCCCAACTACTCACTCAGGAGGCTAAGGCAGGTAATCACTTGACCCCAGGAGTTGGAGGCTGCACTGAGTCATGATAGCACACTGTATTCCAGCCTGGGCAACAGAGTGAGACCCTGTCTCAAAAAAATAAATAACAAAAATTTAATAAATAAAAATGGGGGGAAATTTTTTTTCTTGAGACAAAGTCTTGCTGTGTCACCAGGCTTGAGTGGCGTGATCTCAGCTCACTGCAACCTCCACCTCCCAGGTTCAAGTGATTCTCCCGCCTCACCCTCCCAAGTAGCTGGGACTATAGGCACACGCCACCACACCCAGCTAATTTTTGTATTTTTAGTAGAGACGGGGTTTCACCATGTTGGCCAGGATATCTCCATCTCTTGACCTCAGGTGATCTGCCCACCTCAGCCTCCTAAAGTGCTGAGATTACAGGCGTGAGCCACAGTGCCCAGCCAGGAAAATTTTTTTAATTAAAAAAATTAAAAAGCTACAATGAAACATTTTATGCCAAATAAAAAAATATGTAGAGAGTCTGTAGGTCTTCAAACTTCTTTTTTTTTTTTTTTTAAGACAGAGTCTCACTCTATCGCTCAGGCTGGAGTGCTGTGGCATGATCTTGGCTCACGACAACCTCTGCCTCCTGGGTTCAGGAGATTCTCCTGCCTCAGCCTCCCAAGTAGCTAGGATTACAGGTAGCCACTACCACACCGGCTAATTTTTTTTTGTATTTTTAGTAGAGACGGGGTTTCACCATGTTGGCCAGGCTGGTGTCGAACTCCTGACCTCAGGCCATCTGCCCAATTCACCCTCCCAAAGTGCTGGAGTTACAGGCATGAGCCACCACACCCAGCCTAGTTCAAAATTATTTTATAGGGTTTATTACAAGCCACTGTTACTAGGTATGGGCTTTAGGATCTAGAAGGAATCTGATTGATTATCCAGTCTGTCTTGATCAATTTATAGGGGAAGTTGGTTTACTGAGGACCAAAGAGGGTTCATTGATTTTCCTGAAGTCACACAGTTGGGCCCAGAACATGGGTGTCCTTGCTTGCTCATTCCTTTCACTAATTCCTCTGTGCTCTGAAATCCTACCAGTTTTGAGGAATGAGGAATAAAGGAAAAGTGATCTTGAAACAGTTACTAACAGGCTCTCTCTGCGGGTAGGTGGCTCTCTTCTGCCCTGCTGCTGCAGCCTCAGCAATCAGACTGGGAGGGCAGGCTAGTATAGAGAGCCCAGAGGCCCAGGGTAGTTTGTTGGAGGATGGACTTAAAGTTTCAATTGACTCCTGTCTGGTGATTGCCCTTTTAGGGTGTCCTCCACCCCGTCACCTGGGAGCAAACTAATATTTAGGGATCTGAGGGTACACAGCAGCGCTGGACCAAACTAGCCCGTTAGAGCACCTCAATCCAGATAGGAACTAGGGCAGAGCCAAGCTGCTGAGGTCACAGATCACTGAAGTGGAGACCCCTGCTGATCTGCCTCTGAAGACCTAAGATGGTCACAGCGCTGTGCACAGCCACCTTGCTGCATACTGCAGTGGCAGGTCTTGTGCTCAGACCCCAGGAAAAGTGCTAGATCACACTGATGAGAAGACTGACAGCTTTTTTTTTTTTTAAATGACTTTCAAGGTTTGGTTAATTTTATCTTCATGACCTCTGATTTCCCTGTGCAGCAAATGGTAAAGTAGGGGTAGGGGTAGGCAGAGAGGGACAGACCCCAGCAGTCTATGGACAAGGACAGCCCTGAACAGCTGGCCCTGAGACACGAACTGGAACATGGTTGGAGCCTGGGACACAGGGCTAACAGGAAAGGACACAGACTGCTGTCAGGACACATACTACCACACACCCAAGGCCAGGACCCTGCTGACGTGGCAGACCTCCACCCTGGCCCCTTACTGCCCCCCGCCCCTCTCCCCCGCCTGCCAGCTGCCAACAAGGCTCTGCCTTGTGTCTGCCACACCTGTCACTGCCTGTCCTTGTCCGGGGAGGGGGGGCCCATCAGCCCCTCCTCAGCTGCCCAGCAGAGCAAGCAGTTATTGGGGAGGGGAGGGAACATGGAGCGGGGGGCGGTGGTGGGGGCAGGGCTGGGGGCTGGGGACCGAATTCGGGCACTCCTGGGCTGCCTGGTCAAGGTGCTGCTCTGGGTGGCCTCTGTCTTGCTGTACTTTGGAAGCGAACAGGCCGCCCGCCTTCTGGGCAGCCCTTGCTTACGGCGCCTCTACCATGCCTGGCTAGCAGCAGTGGTCATCTTTGGGCCCCTTCTGCAGTTCCATGTCAACCCTCGGACTATCTTCGCCAGCCACGGCAACTTCTTCAACATGTGAGTCCACTCAAGGCTGTGGGAGCTGGGTCCCTGCACTCTGGGATCCTAGCTCCCTTCTCCAGGCTTCTGTCCTCCTGCCAGTCTGAACACTAAAAATAGGCTAGGAGGTTGAGGAGAAGGTCGGGTGAGGGGGAAGGGAACAGAGCTGTGGGGTACAGGGGAAGTCAGGAGCAGGACTGAAGAGGAAATATGGATCCTGGCATGCTGAATGGCCCTCCAAGGAAATGGCAAAGTTTAAATGACTGGGGGCTGTAAAGGGTATGACAAGGAGAGAACGGGTGATGATGTGTAGAGTTGGGGAGAGCATAGTGATGGGAACACAGACCAAGGTGGGAGATGGAGCTTGGGATCTCAGTAGTCTCCCCTCTTTTCTACCCACAGAAAATTTGTGAATTCAGCCTGGGGCTGGACATGCACCTTCCTGGGGGGCTTTGTGTTGCTGGTGGTGTTCCTGGCTACACGGCGCGTAGCAGTAACTGCCAGACACCTGAGCCGGCTGGTGGTGGGGGCAGCTGTGTGGCGGGGAGCTGGCCGGGCCTTCCTGCTCATCGAGGACCTGACCGGCTCCTGCTTTGAGCTGCTGCCCCAGGGTCTGCTGCTCCACGAGCTGCCTGACCGCCGCAGCTGTCTGGCAGCCGGCCACCAGTGGCGGGGCTACACGGTCTCCTCACACACCTTCCTGCTCACCTTCTGCTGCCTGCTCATGGCAGAGGAAGCGGCCGTGTTTGCCAAGTACCTGGCCCATGGGCTGCCTGCAGGCGCCCCCCTGCGCCTCGTCTTCCTGCTCAATGTGCTGCTTCTGGGCCTCTGGAACTTCTTGCTGGTCTGTACTGTCATCTATTTCCACCAGTACACTCACAAGGTGGTGGGTGCCGCAGTGGGCACCTTCGCATGGTACCTCACCTATGGCAGCTGGTATCATCAGCCCTGGTCTCCAGGGAGTCCGGGCCATGGGCTCTTCCCCCGTTCCCACTCCAGCCGCAAGCATAACTGAAATGAATAAACGCCATTGGGCCTGGCTCTGCCTCCTCATCATTTGGTTGGGTACTTGAAAGGGTAGGAAGAGGGTCTGGTAGTCACTAGGGTTCCTCAGCCATTCCTTACTCTCATCAACCTTAAATGTCCTTCCTTATGCTTGACCTCCATCCCTCCAGCTGTCCTTTCAGCCTCCTAGTTTTTGCAGACTTCAAGCTATCTGGGGACTGAGACATCCAGGAATGGTGCTTCTAAGCCAGGTAATGATGCCCTTAGGTGTGGGCATCATTCTTGCTGAGCAGTTGCTCCATCTCCAGGAGCCAGGTTGGTTTTTCCTGCCTTCTCCACTGAATCTCCACTCTGCTCTCTTCAGGGGCCTACATATCTGGGCACTCCACTCTACCCTTCCTACCTTGTCTTCCCCATAGGAGTCTGTATGTGCTCATCTATTTAACAAATGTTTATTGAGCTGAGCATAATTCTATGCCATGTAAATAAGACAAGATTTCTAGGCCGGGCGCGGTGGCTCAAGCCTGTAATCCCAGCACTTTGAGAGGCCGAGGCGGGTGGATCATGAGGTCAAGAGATCGAGACCATCCTGGTCAACACGGTGAAACCCCGTCTCTACTAAAAATACAAAAAATTAGCTGGGCATGGTGGTGCGTGCCTGTAA